CTCCAGGAGGAGGATTGTAGTTGCTTGGGGGTGGAGCACTACTGTAAGGTGGAGGAGGTTCTGCATAAGGACCTGATGGCTTCTGAGGATCCATTGTCTTTGAAATTTTTAGTCTATAAAAAATATTTGTGAAGACGTTTAAATTAATAAACAAATTTTACCTCACTGAGGTAGTATATACATACATACATACACACACACACACACACACACACACACACACATACATACATACATACACACATATATATGTATAATGTTTTAGAAGTGACTGGGACATATTTTGAAAATCCTAGTCAAAAAGATCCTAGATAAAATCTTTTGAATTAACAACCACGATAAACAGTCCTGATAACATTTTTTGGTATTATCTTAGATATACATATTAAGAAAAAAAGTTTCCATAGTAAAAACAAATTATTCCAATTTATACAGAGTGGTTTTAATTTAAACCTACATTTTTTTTTTTTAATAAGGTTTTGGCAATAAATCACAACTTTAAGAACACAGATTCTAACAGTTAGAGAGTATAATAAAATCTACATTATTGTACAAATAATAAAAAGCATAATAATTTGATTTAATAAAAAAAATAAATAATTTGCTATTATTCTGATCACATTGTAAGAGAGTGCAGGATACATAAAATACTGTATTAGAGTCATTTTGTTAATAATAATACGTAAAAAACACGGCAATGAACAAATACATGAATTAAGAATATTTCATTTGGAATGTTTTTCTGTCATGTTAGTAAAAGTCCTAAAGTAAACTAACAGCATAGAGGTAATGCAAGCACCTTTTTAACAAGCTTCATGCACTGACAATATACTTTACATACAAGAAACTCCTTTGTTCAGTAGTGAACTTCAAACATTATGAACATCTCACAAAACAAGTAATCCAACATCACAAATCCTTTAAAAGGGAAGTCCTTTCTATTAATTAGGGGGCGGTAATACAATAAATGAACAGTCAACCAATGGTTAAGAAAATACTGTTCATGAATAAAAGTAAAATTACTGTTATAACTCATCAACATTATACATGCACTTATATTAGTAAAACCAGTAATCAATCACACTTTTACTTTTAATGTGAAAATTGTTAAAAATGGACCATCTGTGTCTTCATACATGTATCTTGTTCAAATGCTGGTAACAAGAACTGATATATATACATTTTTTTTGTTATTATGTACTATGGCTTATAATAGCAACAATAACACAATAGTATGTAGCTAAACAAGAAAGCTCCGGTGCTATTTCATGAATTCACTAAAATATTTTATTCATTCTTATTATTACTTTTATACTGCCTTATGAAATTTTTTCATTTGCTATTTGACATGCTACAAGTTTGTAAGTTCTTTTATAAATAAAAACAAATATTTCATCACCAAATTCCACTCAGCCCAATAAATAACCAGCATGACATAAATGTAGCTTCTCATATCTATAAAATCATCCAACAAAAAAACTAAAGGAGTTAAAATTACCACCACTATTCGACAAACCATTCCACAACTATAACAGAAAATCTTTTTTTGTCTAATAATCAGCATGGATCTGAGCTTATACTTATTTCCTTTAACATTTAGGACAAGCAAAAGTACCTGTCCCTAGTGACAGAAAAGTTTAAGTTAATCTATCAATTTAAATTATTTAACAGACTTTAAAAAAGGTTAATTGTGTTGCACTCTTGGTTGCACTCAGATCTACTTATAACATCCACAGCAAAAAGTAGTTGTTGAGCATTTCAGTCATGCTAAGAGCCACTCAACAATAACATACGGTAAACATACATTTTTATTCTTTAAGTTACGTCACATTTTGAAATGTGAATGATAGTGTGATTAATTCCTAACAAGTTAGTGTAGAAAATTCTGCTTTAAAAATAAAATTTGGCATCAAAATTATTCATGTCTGTTCTCCCATCATTTCAAAATTGAATTTTGAGCTTTGCCTGCATGTGCAGCTTTTCAAACATAGCACGGGAAGTGGTTGCTGTAAACAGGAGACAGATGAATGCTTGGACAGACACCATGGTTTGCAATATATACAAGATTTCACCCCCCAACCTTATCTTTCTGCCACTCCAACAAACCTGTGATGGATAGTTTATCCAAATTCATAATGACTTCAAACATCTGAATCAAATCAGCTCTTGTTCTTCTACATTCCAGAAAAAAGTTTACATCTTTGAGTTCTTAATAGCTTATGTGTACACTTCACTTGCAGATACTGCTCACATGAAGTTAGAGAAAGCTTAGGAGAAGAGTGCTCCATTAGAGGGGAGAATAGTGAAATTAGGAGCAGAAGTCAAGGGAGTAAAACAGGAAACAAAGTTTTGGGGTAAAAGTTGCTTTGAGAGAGGGTGCAAATGAATGTTGGGCTTACATGAGGTTAAAGTTGGAGCTAATGATGCAGGTCCAGTTAATAGTCAAGCACCATTCAATAACAGATTTGAACATTTAGCTGCTTGATGATCAAGAAGTTTACATATTTGTGGGACTCTCTCATTAACTTATTTATACTGAAGAATATAGAAAGTCCAAAACCAGAATTTACATGCTAGATGCACTAAAGTACAAGTTGCTAGAGAGTTACTAGTTCCAATGAGAATTCTCTGTTCATAGTGCATATAGCAATCAATGTAAAGTCTATATTGGATTTCCTCTCCTCACAACAAGAAAATCAGAAGATCTGCTCAGAAAGTATAAAAAACTCCGTCAGAGGTTTAGGGATCGAAACAGATGTGGGGGGGGGGGCATTTTGGGAATGCTACATTAAGCTAGGTTCATTAATTATTTACCTAATGGGGTCAAACACTTAAATGAAAGAAAATCAGGGATGTGATTAGGACAAGGATGGGTTGGTTAGATTTGTGGGATAGTTTTTAGGTTAAGGATGAATTGCATGCTAAAGACAGGCTTCATTTAGTTTTAAATAAAAGTATCAGTTTTAAAGACAAGCATAGAAGATTAAAGAATAAGTTTAGTTACTATTATTATAATAGTAGGAGTATGAGGAACAAAGTAGTAAATAAGCCACTCAAACTCTTGAAGCAGTTCTGTTCCCAGTATTAAAGTTAGTAGAATTTTAAGACATATTTATAAATATGTTGATTAAAAGTCAAAAGAGGTAAATACCTCTTTATGCAAGTCACCAGTCAGGCCTCACTTAGAATATTACATAAAGTTTTTGTCTCTTTATTGCAGAAAGGATATTAATTTGCTGAAGGATATTGAGGAGGGCTTCTAAAATGATTCTGTTATGTCTTGGGGAAAGGTTAAAATCTGTTATTTTGTCTTAAGAAAGAAAGAGTCAGAGATCTTATGTGCATTTACAAAGTTACCTGGGAAATCAGTAGGATGAAAGCCTTTATTTCTTTGTACTGAATTCTGATGACAATATGTCAAGGACACAAGTTTAAATTTAGAAAATAAAGGCTAGGTTCCAGCTAAAAGTTTTATTTTTCTAACACAGTGGTTAGTTAATGCAATGAGTGGTGAAGGCCAGGACCTTACAAGAGTTTAAGAAGGAAATCAATGATTTATTGAAAAATAAAGGAGGAGTTTAATTTTTCTTTTTCTTGGGGTGAATATAGAGGGACAACTTTGAAAGAATAAATGATCTCTTAATAATAAATGTTGTGGTAATCAACATGTATAACCATACATTATTATGTCAAGTATCTTTTAAATTATGAAGTATGTAGGTACAACACAAACTAACTTTCAAACCACCTCACCCCTTCTTCCATATGAAGATTCTGTAAATATCTCAGCAGTATTCTGTTAGCTGAAACTGCAGAGCTGGAGTTCAATTTCTAAATTAATGAAATGAGTTAGAAAAGTTCATTTAGTTTATAATATTATGAAAATAAACCTTCTAAGTTATAATTATTAGGAGTATTTCTGATAGCACTGATAATCAAAAATAAATCAGTCTAATAGATTACTAGTTAGTATAACATAGCAATAATGTTTGCTGTATTATAACTAACTCTAGTTTGATACTAATAATATGTAGGAGAATACAGCTCATATAAATGACTGAAAATAAAAGTAAACTGCTTGTAAAAAACATCTCATTACTAAATCTAGGGCACACACCTGAACTTGGTAACTTGTTGTTTACTGATACTATGGGCTACACAATGAAATTTTTGTTTGTTTGTTATGGATTGTGCACAAAACTACACAAGGGCTATCTGCACTAGCCATCCCTAATTTAGCAGTGTAAGACTAGAAGGAAGGCAGCTAGTCATCACCAACTACCGCCAACTCTTGGGCTACTCTTTTACCAACGAATAGTGGGATTAACTGTCACATTATAATGCCCCCCATGGCTGAAAGGGCAAGCATGTTTGGTGTGACGGGATTTGAACCCGAGACCCATAGATTGCGAGTCGAGCAGTTACAACTGTTCTGGCTCATGATAGTTCATAACCAAATGTCTTATGGCCCACCAGTTAAAAATCATTCCTCCAGAGAACATTCTCCAAATACAGATAGATAAGTCCCTAAATATACAGCACTGAAATAATTAGTTGCAGTTTTGGTACCACTTTCTCTTTTACTTATGTTGAAAGAGTAATCGAGAACATTACAAAGTAAAACAAATCAAGATCACTTTGTTCTTTTGTCTTCCAGAGGGCATTTTGCATTATATCAACCAAAAAATATATCAAAATGTAATCAACTACCTACTCCTTATGTAAGTGTGTCACACACAGACACCTAAACACATACATTTCCATCTATGTAAATAAATAACAAAATGCTACAATCCTTGAACTCTTCTGTTGTTTTTTTTTTTATAATTTTCTACTAGTTTTATGACTTCATATATACATATTGATATTTCATTTGTTAATACACAATTAAAACAACTAGTAGATAAAAAAAACTGAAATATATTTTCAAAGATAAAAATTAATATAGATTAATGAATAATCTTAAATAATAATAAAATGTTTTCTACGAATGGTACTTTTGAATTGTGAAAGAAAAAAACTATGGTTTATGTAATTTAGGTTATATTAAAACTACAGAAATAATAAAGAAGAATATTATCAAAGATATTTTGTTTATCATTAATTTGTTTAACTGCAATTATAAAAATGTATTATCTTGTATAGTCTGTAAATTGTGGTGAATTCTATGTTGGTGAAACTGATAGTTTAAGATTAAAGATGAATTTACATACATTCCATGTTAGATTTCCACCTCAAAAAAAACAAAAAACAAGTATATGCCAGCAGACATTTTACTGAATGTATTCTGAATAATTTTAAAATTCTGAAAGAATTATATTTCTATGTATTGTCTTTTTGGGCAAGTAAAATACTAACTTTCAAAAAATATTTCATAAATTTCTTTGACACCACCTTAGACAGAGGTAAAAAGAGCAAAAGTAATGATTATGAAAAAACTGTTACTATAAATCACAAAAATAAAGTAAGTAAGAGATATATTTTATATAAATTATTAAAATTATGGAAACAAACTGCTTTTCTATAATAATAGGAGAAAGCATAATTAGTTTTAATTTTAAACAATTATAAAGGAATACAAAAGAAATACATGTGATAAGCTTAAACTAATTTATTTTTGAGTATATTTGAATGTATTTAATTCATGTTATTTATGGTTAGTTGAAAAGTGGTAGCTAAATGTTTTTATTTTGGATTGTCTGTAAAAATGACATCCTGAAGAGTGATCTTTGAAGTCACAAAACTGGTGAAAAAGAAACAAAATAGGAAAGTTCAAGGATTGTAGTGCTTTATTATATATTTATAAACAGGAACATTTTACTATTAGTAGAATAATAATTATGCAAAATTTAACTATTTAAAAAAAAACACATTTATTACTGAACCTATTCTGCATTGCACAGGCCATAACCAGATCATAATAAAACCTATATTGCTTACTGATCAGATATACTGCTTTAAAACTGTAATTGCTTGTTTTTGATGTTATACGTAAGTATAGACAACAAGGGACCAACTGGTCCTTTAAAGTTCTTCCTGCATACCCAGATCATAATAAAATACATAATAAAACCTATATTGCTTACTGATCAGATATAATGCTTCAAAACTGTAATTGCTTGTTTTTGATGTTATATGTAGATATAGACAACAAGGGACCAACTGGTCCTTTAAAGTTGTTCCTGCATACCCAGCCTTTATTTTTCAGAAACTTATCAATTCCCTGTTAAAACTTGTTCAAACCAGTCTGTGGTTCAAGTTCCTCACATCATTCTAACCCTACTTGCTTCAAGGTGAATGTCGGGATTTCCAATTGTTTTGTTGTTGTTGTTGTTAAGTATATTTATACTAGTTTGCAAGCTGTTTCAGACTATACCTGACAATCCCTTTACAGGTGAAACCTTGGTAAGAATAAATATTTGTGAAATATACAGTTGTCTTTGTTTCCCCAAGTTTAATGTTAAATTTCACTTCTACTCCCCACAAATGAAATGTCTCCAAAACATTGAGGCAAATTGTAAAAGGTTTAGAACTTGTATATTTCTATATAATAAAATCCATATTGCTTACTGACCACATATACTGCAACAAAACTGTAATTGCTTGGTTTTTGATGTTATATGTATATATATAAACAATAAGGGATCAACTGGTCCTTTAAAGCTGTTCTTGCATACCCACCCTTTATTTTTCAGAAACTTATCAATTCCCCTTTAAAACTCTTGTTCAAACCAGTCTGTAGTGCAAGTTTCTCATATCACTCTCTAAGCAAGTCTGGTCATAACATACATAAATGATTTTTCACAAAAAGATGGTGCACTTCATTGTTTATAAATAGCAATGATGTTAAGTTTTAATGTATCATCCACTTCCAGATATTAATACATGCTATTCTTGTAAACTAAAATCAAATCAGAGATACTATATATCAAATGAATGCAGGGTAAAATGAAGAAGCTACAAACTAGTTTAAAGTTGTACAATTAGTTTTTTCTGTTTTCTTTTTTTACAGATAAAGCTTTAACGGTGTAGAGAATTGTTGATATTCATCAAAAAGCTGAAAACTTGTGTGATTCAAATCACTCAAAATCACAGAAAAGAGAGTTGTTAAACCACACCTGGAAAGGTACAGACCTTTTGTGCTATCTTCCTCACCAAAGTCTTCATGATTAACAGGCATATTACATGTAATAAACATACAAATCAATATTCTGATGGTGATAAATGAGTACGATTGTGACATTGGTAGAAATTTTGTAAATATTATCTGATCATCATTTATTGTGTAAAAAAATACTTCAAATTGTACTCCTATAAATGCAAAAATGAGTAACTAAATTTTCCATATCAAACACACAAAATATTGTACAATGCATATCAATTTAACAATTCAAAACACTGAACTTGAAACCATCACATCCAACACTCAATATTCTCAAACATCATTGTAATTTCTGCTACAATATCAAGTAGTATTTTCTAAATTTTTTTAAATAGAAATTTAGATGATGTTCCAAACAAATATAGATATAAAATATAATAATTTCAATATTGGATTAAGTCATCATGTGCATCCAAGGTATGTTTGAATCACACAGAAAAGAAAAGAACACCTACGAGTAAACTGAATTTTTCATTCACCAGCTAAACATCAGCACTGACAAAATTCAAGGACATCAACAGAAACAACATACATATTACAAATTTGAAGAAGCGGACATGAACATAGGTTTACTCAATCAAGCTTTGCCAAATATTGTGTAGCAACAATACAAAAGAAAAATCCAAGGAAATGAGAACTTTGTGTACAAATAGCATAAGTAAATAATCTGCTGTTAAACCACTGACTAAAAATCCATTTGAATATGGAAAAAACACTAAACAAAAAAAACTCAGACTATACTTAGAACATCATTCATTCTATGTGCTTGTTATGAAATCTGACATTTCTGTTAAAATTAAAATATCTGATATTGCAAGCTTTGAGTTTGACAGGATGTTACAGAAATTTGAAAGGGAACCTGATTTGTGGTCAGTATAGGACTCAGCAGCAAAAAAACATGATATCCACTGTAGCAACTATTTGTTTCCAGGGTAGATCTTTAAACCCAATAAATTCCAGAAGGCAGTTTCAATACATCTTTACAACAATTGAAGCTTCAAGAGAGTCTACCACTTGTAGTCCAAGGCCCATCATCAACCACCAGGGTTCAGTGCTGCCTCTGTACAAAAACACTGCAAGCTTGCTCTGTTTTAACTTTAGAATAGTTACAATTCAGAATTTATAAATATAAATTCTGACAAGATACCATTTATATCACATACATAATGAATGAATGTTTGAAATAATGTCTGAAATGATTTTGTCAGTGAATCTTATAAATAAATAAACATTAAACAGAAAAACTGATGTTTTCTATCATCATGGACCAAACATTTGACAGCTTTCGTAAACCAAAGTGATTTTCAGCAACCTCTCTGGCCTACTTTTTCCCAATGCTTCTAATTACAAATGGTGCACAATATAACTTTGGTTACACAAGGTTAATTTACAATACTTCTTCATATTGGTGTCAGTAGATGTATTCATGTCTATAGCATAGTATATAGAACTTATATCAAAGATTTATGATCTTGACCAGCCCTACCACTTTCTTGCATGGAAACCTCAAAACTTTGTGTAACACTCCAATGAATATTGGTACATTCATTCCTATATCAAAAGCATTTGTTGCAATGACAATTCTCAATTAAATGTCAAATTTTCTGAAGTCTTAAAAAATGTCCTTGTTTTTGTTGGAAGTAGAATGATGGAACAAATAAACAGTTCTGTGACAATGGTACTCCAATATAGGAATTCTCATTTTCTAATTCATCTGTTAACACAGAATACAAAGATGCACATGACCTTATAATCCTAAAATTCATAATACACTTCAAAGTTTCTTTTTAGCATCACTAATTTACCAAAAATATAATTCTTTCATATCATATGATGTCATTATATTGATTCTGCAGCAAGATCCGTCAACTTTTAAATGTATTCAACTCCAATATAGCTGCAATCTTGTTTCTAGACTATAGTGAAGCAATGGCTGCGAGTGCAAGCATAAAAGTATTTTATAATATACTGTATAACTCCCCAATCCTAACATAAGCCTTTCTGGACCCATCTCCCCTGAATATATAAACAAGGTTTCAAAAGAACTAGTTGATTTATGTTTAGAAAAGAAGTAACATTTCAATAAAAAATATTTTAATGAATATTTATCCTAAAAATCACACATGTACATTTTCTTTAGTTCCAGTGGCAATGTATGGTTAGTGAGATATACAAAACTCATTCCAGAACTATAATTGGATGGTTTTCAAATACAAAAATTCAACCTGGGAAGCTTACGGTGTGCACACTCAAACAGGATGGGTTTACACATACATTTGAAAATAAATTTCATGTAGACAAAATTTCCTGAATGCTTGCCATTGATGAACAAAATAAGCCTTATCAGTAACAGCTGCAAGATACTAATAATAAGACTTAAAATCATAAA